GGTTAATAATGAAGTAACGTGAAGTCATAGGTTTATTTTCTAAGTGTTCCCTATTCAAAGTCAAATGTAACAAAAATAATGAGAAGGGAAAAATCTGAAGAGTTTCATAAAAATACACTTTCTAGACAGAATTAATTCATTCACTATGCTAACCAGGATCCACGCCATTACCAAAAAGGCCGCTGGAACTTTTCTTCTGCTGATCCCTGTCCCTTCCTCTGCTGGAAACACTCTTGTGCTTATTTTTTATTTTTATTTTTTGTGGTCAGGTGCAGGGATCAGAGGGCCTGCCCCACCCTATCTCTAGGGACCACTTCCATATCCAGGCAATATAAGTGTGCCATCAAAGTGAGCTGAAGAAATAGAAGTAGTGCTCAGCATTCCTCACCATCCCTTCCACCATGATGAAATTCAGTCAGCCTTTTGCCGTTACCTAAACTTAAAATATAAGACAGCTATGGCACCTCTCTTCCACACTGGCACTCCTATGAAATGAAAGGATTGACCCAACGACATTCTGTTTTGCATGTAGGATTTGAAATTTCCTTCTGCTTTCAAAAACATTACCAACCAGTGACAAAGCCATCACTTGTGGTTTATACAGGACATTCACATCCATGATCTCATATGCCGTGAAGCAGCAGTTATAATCCCCATCTTGCAGATGAGGAAACCAAGCTTGGAGAGTGAAAGCGACTTGCCCAGAATCTTGGACCTGGGCTGGAGGTCTCCCCTCAGCACCACAGGTTGAGGTCCCCCTGTGTACCCTTCCCTGCCAAAAATAAACTAGGAACCCTGAAGCTTCAGGGACTTCAGTTTTAATTCCCTTTTATTCTTTTCCTGCTTTCAAAGAGAATATATTTTTCTGAAACATGGGAAATTATTTTAAGTAAGGGCAAAAGAAGAGAAGATAGAAGGAAGGAAGAGAAGGAGGAAGGAAGGGAGGAAGGTAGGAGGATGGGGAGGGAGGAAAATATTGCAAATTGCTTTTACATTTAACTTAATTTTCATAAGGAGCCTCTGAATCATGATGATCCTCATTTTACAGATGAACTGAGACTTAGATAAATCTCTTGCCCAAGGTCACACTACTAATAAGAGGCAGAGTCAAGAGATTGCATGCTTCTTTTGAGATTCCATCCTGACAACAGCTTGGGGAATAGAAATAACAAAAACCAGTCTAAGCCACATGTATGTCCCCTACTCTCCAAAACAAGTGAGGTTGAAGCCATCTTAGGTAGTAGCAAATTGGAACAATAATTTCACTTTACTGAGTTACAATATAAAAAGCTAACAAAGGCCATCAGCTTTTGAAAAAAATGTAACTCCATTTAGAAGCATTCAAAACAGTTTCCCTATGCTGAAATTCTAACATTAAAATTTTAATTAAATGTTACATGGCATGATAAAATAACTACCCCTTTTGCATATTCTCTTATAATGTTTTATCTTCATAGCTGCCATTTAAAGATTTTCTCTGTGAGCTACACTAATTTCCAATTAGCATTTTTGAGTCTTAACAACTACTGATATTTCACGAAGAAGAAGAAGAAGAAGAAGAAGAAGAAGAAGAAGAAGAAGAAGAAGAAGAAGAAGAAGAA